CATAGTTTGTTTATCCATTCATCTGTTGATGGGCATCTAGGTTGCTTCCATCTTTTTGCTATTGTGAACAATGCTGCCATGAACATGGGTGTGCATGTGTCTATTTGTGAGACAGCTCTTATTTCTCTAGGATATATTCCTAGGAGTGGGATTGCTGAATCATATGGTATTTCTATTTCTGGCTTTCCAACGAAGTGCCATATCATTTTCTAAAATGGTTGTATCATCATGCATTCCCACCAGCAATGCATAAGAGTTCAAATCTCCCCACAGCCTCTCCAACATTTGTTATTTCCAGTGTTTTTGATTCGTGCCAGTAATGCCCGGGTGAGATGGTATCTCATTGTGGTTTAATTTGCATTTCTTAATGGCTAGTGATCACAAGTATTTCCTCATGTGTCTGCTGGCCGCTTGAATGTCTTCTTTGGTGAAGTGTCTGTTCATTTCCTTTGCCAATTTTTTAATTGGATTATTTGTCTGTTTGTTGTAGAGGTGTTGGATTTTCTTGTAGAGTATACAGATTATACCTTTGCCTGGCTTGTAATGCCCCCCAACTTTTTCCCAGTCTGTAGGTTCTCTTTTTACTTTTTTGGTGAAATCTCTTGAAGACCATAGGTGTTTGATTTTTACAAGATCCCAGTTGCCTAGCTTATCTTCTGGAGTTTGTGTGTTGATAGTTATGGTTTGTATCCTGTTAATGCCGTGTATTAGGGCCTCTAGCATTGATCCTATTTTTTCTTCTATAAACTTTATAGTTTTTGGCTTTATATTTAGGTCTTTGATCTATTTTGAATTAGTTTTGTGTATGGTGTGAGATATGGGTCCTGTTTCATTTTTTTACAGATGGACATCCAGTTTAGCCAGCACCATTTATTAAAAAGACTGTCTTTTCCCCATTTAATGGATTTTGGGCCTCTGTAAAAGATCAGGTGACTATAAGTGAATGGGTTTATATCTGGGTTCTTGATTCTGTTCCTTTGGTCAATGTGTCTGTTGTTGTACCAGTACCAGGTTGTTTTGACTACTGTAGCTGTATAGCAGGTTCTGAGGTCAGGTAGTGTGAGTCCTCCTACTTTGTTCTTCTTCTTTAATAGTGCTTTACTTATCCAGGGCCTCTTCCCTTTCCATATAAGGTTATTTTTTCATTTCTTTTGTTTTTGTAGGTTTTGTTTTTACTGAGACTTTATGTTTTTCGTCTTTATTTTTATGAGTAGGTTTGTTGACTTTCTTTGTGGTTACCATGAATTTTACCCTTATCTTTCTAAGTTTGAAGCAGTCTACTATTACTTCGTATCGCCTTGCCTTCCTCTCCATTAGAAGGTTCTATACCTACACCGTTTATTCCCTCTTTTATTGTTCTGATGTTGTTGTCATTTACAGATTAACTGCTCTGATTCCCTGTTGTATTTCTTTTGGTTTTGGATAGTCCCTGAAAGTTCATTTCCTAGCTTGGTATCTGGCTGGTACGATCCTGCATCTTAGATTCAGCCTGTGAGCTGAAGTTGTTTGCTCTCAGATTGAAGGAATCCCTTTAATAATTCTTGTAAGTTTGGTTTGACTTTTACATATTCCCTTAATTTCTGTTTATCTGGAAATTTCCTAATTTTATCATTGTATTTGAATGACAGTTCTGCAGGATATATTACTCTTGGCTGACAATTTTTTTTTCAAGGTTTTATATATGTCATCCCATTGCCTTCTTGCCTGCATGGTTTCTGTTGAATAATCTAAGCTTAGTCTTATTGTTTCTCCTCTGTATGTGACTTTTTGTTTTTCTCGAGCTGCTCTCAGGATTCTTTGTTTGTCTTCGGTTTTGGCAAGAGTGATTATGATATGCCTTGGTGATTTTCTTTTGAAGTCTATCCTATATTGGGTTCGTCGAGCTTCTTGGATGGCCAGCTTTTCATCTTTCATGATATTGGGGAAGTTTTCTGTCAGCAGCTCTTCAATGAACCTCTCTGTGTTTTTTGTTTTCTCCCCCTGCTCTGGAACTCCAATCATTCGAAAATTTTTGCTTTTGATTGTATCCCACATAATTCTCAGGGTCTCTTCTTTTTTCTGATTTTTCCTCAAACAGAGTTATAGCCAAGTGTTTGTCTTCAATTTCGCTGATTCTGTCTTCCACCGTTTCAGATCTGCTCCTCAGCTCTTCTATGACACTGTCCATTTCTGAAATCTTGTTGTTTATCTTTGGATTTCTAATTGTTGTTTTTGCATGATCTCTAGCTGTGAATTTATTTTGGCATTTTGTTCCTGCATTATTTTCCTGAATTCTTGCATTTTTTTGTCTGTATTTTCCATGAATTTGTCTGCCTTTTCCATAAATTTGTCTATTTTTTCCTCATTTTTGTCTGCTTTTTGCTTCAACTCTTGGATAATTCTGAATATTAGAGATTTGAATTCCGTATCAGGTAGTTCTAGTGCCTTTTCTTCTACTGGAAAGTCATCTAGTGTTTTATTCTGGATACCTATGGGAACCATCTGTCCTGTTTTTTAAATGTTTTGATATTGTCTGCTGTCTTTGGGTTATTTGGTAATTATTTTTCTCATTTATTGATTGCAGATTTGTTCGTTTCATCCTTTTTTTTTTTTTTTTTTTATTTGGCTATGTCTGAGCAGGCGGGCTGTGTGTTCTTTGTTGTTTGCTCATCTGTGGGCATGATACTTTTTGCCTCCTTCTCCAGTTGGCAGGGTTAGGCACTCAGATATAGTACAGCAAGGCAGGTCTAGCTGAAGAGGAGTTGCTGGGATGGGTTGTTTGTGGCACTTACTATGGCTACCAGGGTGGGCCAGTAATCAGTACAGGGCAGGTTCAGATGGGCTATGCCTGGGCTGCTTGGTGGTATGATGTTCAGCGCGTGGTACAGGGAGGTAGGATGGAGGGGGGAGATTGTGATGTGTGGAGCTAAGATGCGTACGGAAGAAAGGAGAGAGGAACAGGAGCCAAAAACATACAAACAACAAAAAAGAGCTCTAGGGGAGCTTGCTATTGGAGTGGAGAGATGAGAGATTATAAAATGGAGAAAAACAAAAAAGGAGAAGAAGAAGGAAAAAAAGAAAAGAAAAAAATGAATAAATAAAAATTAGAAAGAAAAAAGAAAAGCAAAGCTCCCAGGGATCCCACCAGCGCGGCTACGAAGTCTGGGGAAGTTGCTCCCAGGCTGTGAAGTACAGCCCGGCTAGAAGGCATAGAGGCGTCACTCAGCACCAGGTATTTGGGGGACAGGAAAGTATAGAGAGACAAGAAACGGTTGTTCTGTCTCTTGCTGGAAGATCCACGAAGCTGCTTTCTTGCACCCCCTGTTCACTGGTCTCTGTTAGGAGTCCAAGATGGTGGATCCATGCTGCGTTAGCTGATAGGGGACCTCTGCATGTATCGCTTCTCGCTTTCCTTTCTCCATCAGTTTCTGATTCCATTCGGTGCTTGGCTGAGTTCTTTATCTCTTCATTTGATGCTTAGCGTTTCAGATTGCCATTTTCTCTGGCTTAATTTTTTTGATCTTTGCTGTGGAGGGATGGCATGGTGCTTCTGCCTATAGTGCCATGTTGCCCGGAAGTCTGTATCTCTCTTAAAATACCTGCCATATTCTTTCCTGAGCTATGGTTATCTACATGGGGTCCTTATCTCAGCCAGTAGATTATGAGGCTCTGGAGGGTGAGGATTGTATCTCATTTATCTTTGTTTCCCCAGTATATAGAATCTTACTCAATATACATGCTCACTCGGCATTTGTTAAATTGAATTTTAAGCACACATTTTTAAGCATACTGTGCCAGGTTCTAAAGGGGGATAAAAGAAGAACAGGGTACAATGCCTGCCTCGAAGGAATTGAAAATCTAGCTGTGGATACAAGATTGCTTACATAAAAATTGTAATTTTTTTTCAACTTCCAGTAAGACATCATTGATCATGTACTGTGTGCCAAGAATTATAATATATATGATGATGTAAACACTGGGATACAGAAAATAAATACTAATTAAGGCAGATCCTTCACAACTCATCTGTCAGTTTGTCACACTGTGGTGACTTTCATGTTGCTATGATGCTGGAAGTTATTCCACCAGTATGTCAAATACCAGCAGGGTCACCCATGATAGAAAGCTTTCAGCAGAGCTTCTAGACTAAAACAGACTAGGAAGAAAGACTTGGTGATCTACTTCTGAAAATTAGCCAATGAAAACTCTACGGATCACAACAGAATATTAAGGTCTGATACAGCGCTGGAAGATGAGCCCCCTAGGTTGGAAAGCACTACACAACAGCAACAATGGTCTCAAACATATCAGCAATCATGAAGATGGTGCAGGATCAGGCAACGTTTCATTCTGTTATATACAAGGTCACCATGAGTCAGAGCCAACTTAATGACAACCAACAACAACAAGGCAGAGTATAGGTGTATGTGTACATATGATGTGGCTACCTGCAACATTTACTAAGCCCCAACTATGGTTTGATGAACAAGAGATGGAAGCCTTACCTGGTGATGCTGCATGTTCCAGGTGGCCCAGCTGGGGCAGCTTGGTGACTCTGTAGATCAACTCTGCAGGCTCACTATCCTGGTCAGTGGCTGACAGCTGCAGAGTGGTGATTTTCTTTACTGAGTTCTCATCCAAGACCAGACCTTTATTCGTGATGATGACTGGTGGGAATCTGTCTTCTAAAAGTATCAGAAATAGTGATTTGAAATGGATCTTTTCAGCTTTCTTTTTTCAATTTTAGGCCTGGTGCCTAGGTGTAAGATAAGAGTAACCTTTAGGCCTGTCCCTGAGAGAGTGTGCCAAAAAGCCAGAATTTCATGCAACAGAGAGGACATGATTTACACACTGCCAAGGTGAAGGAAAAGGCTCAAGCCCCAAGCCAAGCACAATATAAACTAAATAACCTAAGAAGTGCTAAAGTATTTTTATATTAGAAACCCAATGCCCCCTTACCTAAAACACTGATGGAAAATGACTGGTCAATCAATTTGTTGCCTTCTCCACCAATCACATCAAATTTAAAAGCAAAACTGCCACCAGATTCTCCCTTTCCATGACTGTATTCTACTTGCCCTGTAAAAAGGAAACAGAAAATCAGATTTGCTGTTAATGCTTTTTTGCCCTTATTTCTGATGTATAAGGTGGGAATTCGATTAGTATTCACACTAATGAATCAGTTCATGCCTTCCTCACTTCTACACTGCTTTCGACATTTTAATCTAAAGTTTTCATCTCCTCTCCTGCCATCAACTTCCTCATAACCAATGACCTCCTCATAACAAAATTCACCCAAAGTGCACAAGGAAAGTATTAGGCCAAGAGAAAGAAAGGGCCACATAAACCAGAGACTTCATCAGCCTGAGATCAGAAGAACTAGATGGTGCCTGGCTACTACAATGACCACCCTGACAGGGAACACAACAGACAGTCCCTGATGGAGCAGGAGAAAAGGGGGGTAAACTCAAATTCCAGTAAAAAGACCAGACTTAATGGTTTGATTGAGACTGGAGGGACCCCAGAAGACATGGCCCCCAGACTCTCTGTTATCCCAAAACTAAAACCATTCCCGAGGCCTACTCTTCAGACAAAGATTAGACTGGACTATTGGACATAAAATGATACTCGTGAAGAGTGTGCCTCTTAGCTTGATACATGAGACTAAATGGGCAGCTCCTGTCCAGAGGTGAGATGAGAAGGCAGAGAGGGTCAGGAGCTGGTTGAACGGACACGGAAAATCCGGGGTGGAAAGGAAGAGTGTGCTGTCACAGTATAGGGAGAGCAACTAGGGTCACAAAACAATGTATATATAAATTTTTGTATGAGAGACTAACTTGAATTATAAACTTTCACTTAAAGCACAACAATAAAAAAAAAAGATTCACCCAAAGTGGTATCCCTTATGGTTGAGGCTCAGCCTTTTTGAAAGGCCTAGTTCAGCCTTTGGAGTCCCTAGGTGGTGCAAATGGGTAATGTGCTCAGCTACTAACCAAAAGGTTGGAGGTTCAAGTCTACCCAGAGGCACCTCAGAAGAAAGGCCTGGTGATCTACCAGATCATTGAAAACTCTATGGAACACAGTTCTACTATGACACACATGGGATTGCCATGAGTCAGAATCTACTCAATGACAATTTGTTTTAGTTCAGCCTTTAAGGAAGTTTCATGAATAACAACAGCAAAACTGCCCACATGTAACTGTGCATCAACCCCAGTCATATTACTTGGTGGGACCCTGTTATATACCCATATCACAAGGACAAGAGGACACAAAGCTTCAGTCCACATTCACCCAGAACTCTTTACTCTCCATTTCCTAGTACAGCTTTAAAGCAGTTTTGGATCTACACGGGTTATAACCAAACACACAAATAAATAAATAACCAAGTAAACGCTATAAAGAAGCCAAAAGGATCCAAAGAAAGAAGTAGAATGCATTATGTTTTTCTTAACTCAAAGGATCGTTTCCATTTGCTTTCTGTCAAAATGTCCATTAGCTGACATTCATGTAGTGAGTAGAGCCCTGAGTGGTGCAAATAATTAAGCACTCAGCTACTAACCAAAAGGTTGGCATTTCAAATCTACCCAGGGGCGCTTTGGAACAAAGTCCTGGTGATCTACTTCCAGAAGATCACAGCCATTGAAAACCCTACGGAGTATAGTTTTACTCCAAAACACATTGGGTCATCATGAGTCAGAATCAACTCAACGGCAACTGGTTATATGTAGAGAGTACACAAGAGCCTTGATACATGCTATCAAAGAGATTTACATATTAACTTTACATATTAACACAATAACTCATTTTACAGGTAAGGAAATGGAGGCACAGAAATTGATGTAACTCATGAAAAGCCACCCATCTAGTGATTAGCACAGCTTGGATTCAAGCCTAGGCAGTATGGCTTCATGCTCTTAACTTATACAGTGTGGGACTTGGTGTCTACTTCCACTGATAATGTAGTTGGTAAAGAATTACCTCCTTGCTAATTGACTTCCTTACTAGTTTGCTTTGTGGAACCTAAGAAATTCTGTCTTAAGATGAAGCTATTGTTTTAAACCCTAAGAATTGTTTCCCTGGGTGTCTTAAATAATTTTGTAATTACCTATCAACGTAAATATAATCAAACATCTGAGAAGATGTGCCTGATCTCATTTTTTAAAAGGAGATACCAAGGCAGGGAATAATTAAGGAATTAACATCTCTTGCCCATTCCACCCCCTTCACTAAAGCACAAATGGGCCCAATGAGTATTTGGCTGCTATCAATTTTAGGTGTTGGTGTATGGACTGCTTTCTGCTCCTTAGGGGCATATTTCCACCTCTAAATGGAATTGCACAGCCTCATCTGACTTTGGATTAATTTCCCCCTCAACATATTGGTGACTTTTCCCCCTGAAAGCACTGTACAGTAACTACGAAGCATTTAACATTTATGCCTTTGCATTACATCAGCATTTCCTGGAGGAAGGATGAGCCATGTAATTTCCCCTAGGCAGCTCCGATTTATGTCTTTCCATTTTGCTTAGTTCATTAACTTGTGCTCTTTGGGGAGCTGGAAAGAGATATAAATTGCTCACCTAAGGAAGGCATAGTTTTCACCTTAATCCATCCCTACTCCTTTTTCCTTTCTCCTCTCATATACTCTTTAATGTCATAGCAACTGAAAATGATTTTTTCCTTCCATAATAGCCCCAAATTTCACAAACACTATGTCAAACCATCAACACATTTTAGCCAAGATAGTCTTTTTTTTTTTAAAACAAAAAATCTGAGGAGGAAAAAAGAGAATAAATGAAGCTGTAACTCAGCTCTTATTCAAAACAAAGACTGTAGAGTTTACTGCTATAGGCTTCCAGGCATTTAACGCCTGTTTTACTAGTGTGGGCAGAGTCCGAGAAGTCTGGGTAGGCAGAAGAGAATTGGCTCACCTTGGCTAATGTCAGCCTGGGTGAAACTTCGGATGGGGCCTTTAATGGAAATTTGCTCCAGGTTGTCACGCTTAACCATCTGCAGGCGTCCCACACCAGGATCTTCCTTCATGATATACATAACCTGATGGTTGTCTGAGTCAGTATCGGTCACTTTCAAGTGCTGTTCCGTGATGCGTGCGACAGAGCCTGGGTAGTAACAGAAGAGAGTATGTCATTTGCCACCATTTTCTTTGAATGAGATGTCAAATGATTTTAGGAGACTAGAGACTAAATTATCACACATTCTCTGAGTCTAAATATCTAAACAAAGGTGATTGCCCTTCTTGGTTTCAGCTGAATGAATTTTAATTTCCCTAAGTGAAAGAGTTCCACGTTTCCAATTGGAGCCCCAGTGGCACAGTGGTTAAGAGCTACAGCTGCTAACCACAGGTCGGCAGTTTGAATCTACCAGCTACTCCTTGGAAACCCTATGGGGCAGTTCTACTCTGTCCTGTAGGGTCACTATGAGTCGGAATGAACTCGACAGCAATGGGTTTGGTTTTTTGGTAAGTGAAAGCGTTTCACATTTCTAATTTGCTAATCATGCCTTAACTTAGATCTGAGCCCTTGCTCTCTTCTGATCCGTCTTCACTCTCTCCCTGTTGTTGTTAGTTGTCATCAAGTCGATTCTGACTCATGGAGACCCCATGTGTGCAGAGCAGAACTGTACTCCACAGGGCTTTCGGAAGCAGATCGCTGGGCCTTACTTCTGAAGCACCTCTGGGTGGGTATGAACGCCAGCCTTTCAGTTAGTTGTTCAGCGCTTAACCATTTATGCCAACCAGGGACTACTCTTTACCTGGGCCATTTCTCAGCAAGCAACCTTGAGAGTAGTATCTTCCTCCAGGACAAAGATCAGGCTTGCTTACTACTTGTTATAACAATGGTGAGTTCCCCAAGCTCAGGGTTTGTCTTCTGTAATATATCCCACTGTATGTGAAAGACATCCATGGGGTCTGTCTTTATCACTCCCACAGGACTTGAAGGGCCTACAGAACTGGTGCAAACTTACTTGCTCATGTTGCCTGCTGTGCCGTGAGTAGCAAAGTGCTTTGACTCTGATTGAAGAATCTCATGTCTTCTACCATCATCCATGAAATAGCAACAAGCTAACTTAAGAGCTTCTAAGTAAGTAGGGTAAAATCAAATCCTAGACCTGATACCTGGGACACTGGGAATCCCCAAATTTTCAGATATTATACCATATATTTTTCACTACAAAATACATGTAAGATTAAGAATAGACAAATGCCAGAACCCCATCAAAATGTAGATGCTCTATACATAAAAGTCTCACTCCCTAATTAAAAAACTTTCTCTGGCAAATTGAGTCCAAGATGGATACTTGTCATGGTAGTTGCATGATGACTTCCCCATTGCTCCTCCAAGGCTTCTTTTATTAGTATCTTGAAAATTCTGCTAGATTTCTTTTGTTGCTTATTTCCTTGGGGTTGGCTGATGGCAATGTTGCAAGAAATCTGAGCATAGGAGTAGTTGGATAAATTAAGATTTTTGAGGACCCTGGAAATACTACAAACTCATCTCAATCTTTTCTCAAATTCACAAACAGAGGCATGTGGCCCAAATAATTCAGACATTCACATTTTTCACTCAAACAGTATCCCCTCAAAAAAACAATTCTCTTAAACCTAAGTCTCCCCAAGTTCTGAGCACTAGTTCAAGATCCACCCACAGAGCTTATGTGGAAGAAAGCACTGTATACCTAGACAAACAGGAAATAAGGACAGAAGAACCAGAGCCACCGTCTTCCATTCCCCTGGTACCTGCTGAGAGCTGTAGGCCCTGGTTTACAACCAGCTGGAGGGTGTCACTTGTAGGCAGCTCCATGTAGATCTCCATCCTCCCTGTGTCGGTGTGCTTGCCGTCAGTCAGGGAGAAGTGAAACTCATCCACTGCCACACCACGGCCACCTGGCTTGTACCCAACCAGCTCGTCCAGGACATCCTGGTAGGTAAAGGAGGAGCCCTGGGCTAAAACCGTCCCATTCTCTAGTGGTTCAGTGGCAGTTTGCTTCTGGAGTAGATGACCTGACAACAGAAGTACAGAAAAACAAAGGAACAACGGTAGAACATATATGGTGCCAAAACAGTCTGATTTTACCCATTAGTATGAGCCTGGGCAAAATGTCAAGCACTTCAAAGGCTCTTGGTGACACACACATCAATGACTAACATTTTATATATGAGCACAGGGTGCTGCCTTGTGGCCTCATCTACAAAAAAGAAGACAAAGTCCTACTTTTCCTGGATAAAAATCTCCTAAGGAGACGCAGATAGATGTGGTAATATAATAGCCTAGATATCAAATCTCCCTCCACGAATGCACTCATTTCATTATCTAAACCTTATTTTTCCCTTCTACAAAATGAAAATGGCACTCTTCACTCACTGCCTTCCTTCTAGGGAAGCTGGGGTGGGAGATGGGAAGGTGGTTTAAATTCCTTTTAAGCTCAGATTTAAAATAAACTTCTTTCAAATTTAGAAACATATTCAGAAAGCATCTTTAGATTGAGGCACATTTTTCTGTTTTCAAGTGTCTTGTGTACTGTAATAGGACAGTTAAAGTGCTTCATTAAAAGAAAGTAAAAGTGAATGAAGGTAAGCTAAAATGTCATGACCAACAGTCTCTTCTATTAACCTTCCATCAACAGCAACAATTTTGTCTTTAAAAGAACAATGGGTATTATGATAGACAGAGACGCACTGTTTGGAAGAAGAAAGTTCCAGAGTGTCAGCTAATACCAGAGGGATGGCACTTAGAAAAGAAGTAGGTAGAAGATCCCCACAGTGGTTTTGCCCCTGGTTTAAATCAGGAAAAGTGCTTTCTTTGCAAAAAGAACAAGCTCATGAAGACGTTTAGCACGTCTCTAACCTGAGGTGAACACCTTTTGCAATTAATAACAACGTTGCCACATGGTTCTTTGTATGAGATAGACCCAGAATTATGAAGTCATGATGTCCATCTACTCTAAGAAAACAGTATGCACACTCTGAAACTTGTTTTGCCTAAGGTTACACAGGAAAGCAAGAAAACAGCTGAAATTAAATTTCAGAGATCACAATTACCTAGGATTCAGGTTTTTAAAGCAACCAGTGTCTACTGAGACCTCAAAGAATATTAGCTCGCTGTGAATTTGATTATACTTTGATCCAGAGAATGGACTATACACAGGAGAGGTGAAGGAACAGTCAACTGAAATCTGTGTTTATCTAATAACCCATCGGGCACCTCAATTAAGATTTCCAAAGCAGGTTGTATCCTACCGTGGTAAGGCTTTTTTGTCAATACAAAAATTAGCTCATTATCTGGAGTGTCCAGGTCTTGTAGGCTCAAAGAAGAATTGCTTATCACCACTCCAGAGCTTAGCTGCACTCTGAGGGGCCACAAGGTCATCCTGGGAGGCTCATCGTTCTTCCTCTGATTAAAGCATAAAATACTAGGTCACACAGATACTGGTTTAAGAATAAAGAACATGCACATTAGTCAAAGACAACATCATTGTCACAGTAACTTTCATCATCGAAATAGTTTTATTTTAAATAAAAATTTTACTTTGGAATAATTTTACATTTACTGAAAGGTTGCAAAGATAATACAGAGTTCTCATATGCTCTTCACTCAACTTCCCCTAATGTTAACATCTTATGTAACCACGATATATCTGTAAAGACTAAGACATTAATATTGGAATGTTACCCTGGTGGCATAGTGGTTAAGAGCTACGGCTGCTAACCAAAAAGCTCAGCAGTTCGAATTCACCAGGTGCTCCTTGGAAACCCTATGGGGGCAGTTCTACTCTCTCCTATAGGGTCACCATGAGTTGGAATTGATTCCACGGCAATGGGCTTGTTTTTTGTTTGTTTGTTTGTTTACTGCTAAAGGACAGGATTTGAGCTTGCCTGATGTTTTCTTATGCTTAGACTGGGGTTTTGGGCTTGGAGAAAAGAACACCACTGAGATGAAGTGCCCTTCTCATTCCATCCATCCATCAGGGGTAGATGATCTCCACTGAAAAAGCTTTTAATGTGTCACTATCATTATTCCCCAACCAAAATGATTCGTTTCAAGGAGATCATTGCACATAAACAAAATGTCCCCTTGAAAAAAAGTTGATGGACACTCTACAAAAACCTCAGCTATCTTCTGTAGATCCAATGACTATTTTCCAAACAAAAAATAATGACACATGGTCTGATAAGTACATTTGGGGAACAAAAGGGTACATTGTTTGAAATCAGAACTGTCTTAGAAAATCCTAAACATATCACAGTACCTGTAGAAGGAAACCATATTTAAAGTATGGTTTCCTAAAACCATCTCCCTGTCCCCGTACCACCACCCTCCACCATTGTCCCTCAAGAGTGTTGAGGGTATCATATGTTTTATTTTGCCAAGGCAGAGGTATTTCCTTCTAGCTTTATCTTTTATCTCTTTTCAGGGAAAAATATTTTAATCTAAATATGGGATTGGCAAGGTTTCTTTGTCTGACCCTTACAAATTGTTTCCACATAGAAAAAAGAGATTTTTCTTTGAAATGAAAATTCAGATTTCCAAGTCAGACCTTCCCCAAAATGGCAGCCTTAATTCTACAAGTTCCCTGAAGGTTGGGGTTATATTTAAAAATTGAACTTTAAAATTGAAGGTCAAATCCAATCTTTTTTTGCTTCTGAACCCATATAAAACTATCTAATGGTGTTATATTATGGTCAAAGACCCAACTTTTCCAACTTGCAAAGTCTTTACCTCGATGGTGATATTGATGCTGTGAATTTCAGAACGACCGGTTCCATTACTCACATAAAAACTAAATATATCATGGGTTGGCTCAATGCTTTCATGAACACTCTGAAAGTAGTAAATGTAGTTTTCCAGGACATCTTGAATAGGGAATGATGCCTCCAAGTTACTGGTAGCTCCAGGGCCAAAACGATCACCTGCATCAACATTATGAGGGAGCTTTTACCTTAATTCATCAGTTCCTGTGTACTAGGCTGAATTAGAAAACAAAACACCATTATCAACAAAAGATGAAAATATCTTTGAGAATAAAGACAGAAGAGTGGAACAAGCGCAAGACTAGGAGCTGTAAGACGGGGTGGAATCCTAGTTTCCACACTGATTATTTCTCCTCTACAGATGGGTGTATCTACCTGCAGCCTCCTCAGGGAATCAGATGAGACAATATATATGAAAGCACTTGGGATGCTGTTATTTCACAAAGCATGGAATCAGTGGTCGTATTGTTAGGAATACTTGAGGACATAAGTCCTGGGGTGAACACAAAACAATAACAGAAGTTTTCTACCTCATGCTCCAGCCAGTTTTAAAACCACTCTATCTGGAATATCCTGAAAGAAGAACCCTCTTTCTCTGCCTAAGAAAAACTTAACTGTATACCATGTTTGGGAGTCTCTGGGTGGTGCAAATGGTTAATACACTCAGCAGCTAACCAAAGGTTAGAGATTCTAGCCCACCCAGAGGTGCCTCTGAAGAAAGTCCTGGCAATCTACTTCCAAAAAAAAAAAAAACTAGCCATTAAATACCCTATGGGGCACAGTCCTACTCTGACACCCACGGGGTTGCCGTAAGTCGGGGTCGACTTGACGGCAACTGGTAACTCATAATACCATATTTAGCTAAGAAATATCTCCTCCAGCATGCTTTCATTTTACCTCTCAGTCCCTTAAGGAAACCTTGGCATGGGTGAGAGTGCAGCCCCTAGGACAGTACGCCAGGGCTATGGTGCGAGAGGCTCCGTTAACTATTGAGAGCTCTGCAGAAAGTGTTGGCTCCAGTTTGCTCTCTACTCAGCCCAACCCCAAACATTGCAAAAGGCCAACGGGGAGAGTAAGCGATGTCTAAATGATGGATGACTTGTCTCTTACTTGATTCTAAACTGAGTCTCTCTAATTGATTGATTTTAAATTGTTACCACAATTTTCTTCTAGAGAGAGGAGAAAAAAGAAACCTCTATATCTTCAACCATGCACTGGAGATCTATCAACACAGAAAAGTGTACATAGCAGATCTAAAAGCAACAAGGTTTTTCCCTTCTCTCCCTCATGGACCTTTGCAAAGATCAGATCATAAATTTAAAAGTCATTAACTTCCTGAACTATAGACAGTGCCATTTTTTGTTGATATCCCAGCAGAAAGTGTAGGAATAAAAAAGTTTTATTTAAAATTTCCTTTATGTTTGAACTAAAGACTTAAAACAAATATTTTTCTTCAATGACATACATTTTCTTAAATTTTACCCCTCAGATTTACTATTATTGATTCTTCTTGGTACCAGAAGCATAGAGGGTTCTTAGTGATCAGAAACCCCAATGATCCCTAAGGACATAGATACAGTTCAGGGTTTCCAGAAGGAGCTGCATTAATTCTTTCAAATTTTTATTTTCTCCATCCATCGATCACTATAAGTATGGGAAATGTGGCTTCACTATTTGGACCAAAAATAGCCTAAGCAACTGATGCCTAAAAACATATACAAGTATAATAACACCTCATGTTATATCATTGGAGAGCCAGCTAGTCAACAAGTAAATCTGTCACAGAGGCTTTAAGCACAAATTCTTGCAATTTTCAAAACTGCACCTTTTACTTTTGATGTAAATCATTCTTATTAATGTGCTTCCCTGCCTTCTTACATAGAATATACAATGTGCAAATTAAATACTGCTTGATGCATCCAGGCTATCATTATGAACATCTCTTATGCCACTGCAATGGAATACAGTGATGCCCCAGAGGTAATCAAGGTGAATCCTATCCTGTTTGTGCAGGTTCTAAAGGAATGCAGATTCTATGCTTTTAGATTTCATACCTAACAATATAATCATCCTGTTTCTTCCCTTCTTGTTGGTAAGAAATAAAAGCCGCTTCTTCTAACAGTTTTAAAAAATATGTTCTTCTAATCAGCTGGGTTCTGAATCTAGGTAGCTAGTTTCACATACATAAAGCAGACTTGGTTAAGAACAGAAGTTAAAGGGCCTTTCCCATTGAGCAAAGGGTGAAGTTCTTAGCTGATGGATCTTGGACAATTATTTTCGCCTCCTGAAAGCCTTTCGCTTCCTTCAGGTTCATATCAATGTTGCAGAGCAGTGGTTCTCCGTGTGTGGTCCTCTGACCAGCAGCAACAGCATCACCTGTGAGCTGATGACAAATGCAAGTTCACAGACCCCACCTGACCTCCTGCAACAGGAATTCTGAGGATGATGTCCAGGAACCTGTGTTCTAGTAAGCCCTCCAGGTGATTCTTATGCACACAGAAAAGTTTGAGAGCCCTGTTTTAGAGAAGCTGAGGTTTGCCAGAAGTTTGACTTTTGAACCAGTGAACCACTCCTCTACATGCATTCCAGGTTAACGTAAAACTAAGGCTTACTAACGAACCACATGGAAAGAAGAGAAGGCTGGGCACGGACATCCTTTCATGACGTCCCCCCTTTGCCCATGCTCTTCTCTTTGCGAGAAATGCCATTTCCTTTGTGCACACGACAACTCCTAACCCTCCAAGTTCCAGTTTAAATATCACTTCCCTGAGTGGTGCAACTGGTTAAGCACTTGACTACTAGCCAAAAGGTTGGTGGTTCAAACTCACCCAGAAGTGCCTCGGGAGACAGTCTTGGCAACCTGCTTCTGAAAGGTCACAACCTTGAAAACTCTATGGCATACAGTTCTACTCTGACACACATGGTGTCGCCATGAGTTAGAATTGACTTGATGGCAACTAACAAAATAACAATCCTCAGACTTTTCTTTCTCCGCAGATAAAAGTGATTGTTTTGTACTATGTGACCTCTCAGGGCTTTGCTCCTTTCCCTGTCCTGGCATTTATCATTTATTGTAATTTATCGGTCTTCATAACTGTCTCCCATGAGGTGGAGTCTGTGTTTTATTAATCTTTACATCCATTGTATCTAGCACAAACATTTGTTGGAATAAACCTAATTCAGTCATAAACAAATCTGAGTACATACAGTGAAAGGCAGGATGGAGAAAAGGCCCACGACTTTCTGTAGGGAAACATGACTACTGCTAAATGAATTTCCAATAACCAGGCTTACATCCCAGGCACCATACTGGCCACAGACACCTTCAGTCAATGGCGTCTCTGTGGGAGCTGTGGCTGCATGCCAATTAGAGCCAAGCACTGGAATCTCATTGCCAAGTCTGCTGTGCAGCAACCTGCCATGAGCTGTCTGAACTGCCAGTCACATTGGGTCTCAGGGGGCCTGTAGACTGTACACCACTTCTTGCCTTTCTTTCTCCGTGATAACCACCAAGGGCAGCGGGCCCTAGGCAGATGGTGAAGGGGGAGGGGTGTTGAAGAGGGTGTCACGGATAGACAAGTGTGCATTTCAATTCATGTCATATTCTTAGAAGAAGCTGAGACATAAGCTTTGGTTCAGCTAAACCACCGTAGCCTTATAGTAAAAGGACAGGAATTTTTATTTCCTTCACACTCAATTCTGAGTGCAATCCACAAGCTCTGCCACTCCAGTTGCTGGCACTCTGAATCCCCTTACCCTGCTCTATTTTTTTCCATAGACTTACTCACTTTCTAACACATAATTTTCTTTTATTAGGTTTCTTATCTGTTTCTCTCCACCAGGATCTGTGGCACCATGAGGGTAGGGACTTCTGTCTGTTCTGATCACTGATGGATCCCCAGTGCTTCAAAACGTGCCCATCACACAAAAAAAAAAATGCTCCGTAAATTTCTGAATGAATGAATGAATGAAACCTTCCTTCCTTCCATTTCTTTCAAATGGTTGTGTTCTTTAGTTCTCCATTCCAGGCTTAAAAGGACCCAAAGTTCTCCCTTCCGCCCTCCCTTCTTTCCAGGTCCCGAACAACGTACAGCAGAGCTATTTCTGATACCTGTTCCTGTGTTCTCAATGCAGCCGTATTTGGGCAGAGCACTTAGTTTAATGATGGCGTCTCCCTGGAGGTTGTCATGATCATCAGCAGCAAAGAAATGGTGAAATGAGAGCGGGGCTCTCCCTCCCTCATCAACCTAAGAAAGAAAAGAACACAGAGTCCGTGGGCAGTCGCACATAACTGCATAAAAAACAACAGCATTGAAGAGTGCTGCCTGGGGTGACCTTCCAGCACCAATTCCACTTTTTTGAGGACACAGATCCTCTACAGACGAGATGAGCAATATGTGTGCTGCTGAAGCCAGGCAATCTTTCAGCACCTCTCAAAGCTACACTTAGACACGATGACTTCAGTGTCTCCCATCAAAGTTGTGCTTCATTAAATGATGGATCTGGTTATAAAGCAGCTCTGGCCCATTCTAATCACCCACCTCCACACAGCTGTACGACAGGATGGCTGCCTTCCTTCTGTTTCAACATCCAAAAGCCTACAGGTAGAGAATGATTGATCCAGTCCTCCCTTGGATACTGGGAGGGTGGCTCTGTTCTATAGCTATTCCCATCCACAACAAAAGTCCATTTATTCCCTTACGGTATATATTTATAGGTGTGTCAGGAAGAAAGCCTTTGCCATACCTGAAAGTTAGTACTTATCTTAATGTCAAGGAAGAAAATAAATCACTAAGATAAAAACAGTTCTTTTTTCTTTAGGGCCCTGCTTTGTAGGCTAACTCTGCAACCTGTGCCTGGTGTTTTTTTTTTTGCTAGCCTGCTAGAAATGACCAAGCCATTTCAGTCTGAACAACACCTAGGCTAACTGTACAAAGTGGAAGGTCACACTGACTCTGAGAATGGGGAAGATCCAAGTGTTTTCCCCCAGGTGTGGAATGGAAAATGGGAGGAATCTAAAAATCATTTAGAAACAAACTCCTGAGCTTTCAGTACTGTGGTACTTAGAAAGAGGAAAGGGAAATTTTGGTGACCTCCTACCATATGCTAGTGGTTTTATCCACTTGCTATTTTATTTAGTCATCAGATCAACTTGTCTATGTATCAGGAAGAATAATATTTTAAAGATGAGGAAATTGATGCTAAGAAAGATTAAGTAATTGGTACAAGGTTACTCAGTTATTAAGTAAAAGAACCTGGACTTGAACTCAGGTTTGGGTAACTTCAATGATCAGGATACAAATACAGCACCCCAAGAAACTATCAATATTAGTTACAGTGATGAGTATTGACTTGATTTAAGGAGGAACTTGGGAGCACTGTCTTTATTCCTCATGTTTTTAGTTGCTGTCAACATTAGATTGTAAACTCTTCAAAGATACATTGCATTTCTGATTTTACTCCTTATACTAACATCCAACATAGTATAAATATTTGTTGACTAACTAATGTGGACATAATGATTTGATCTTCTGCATATAATTATTTTCATACTTTTAAAAACCTCATGGTTGAAAGCCATGCATATCTTGATATCATTGTGTATATAATTTGGGGGAAGAATATGGCAGCCAATTTAGTCAGAAGACCCTTTATTTACATCGCCAAAGATTCCAGTGATTTATAGCACTCACTACTTATTGATTTGAGAATCATTTACCGTGATAAGGTCAGCAAAAGCAATGACTGGAGGTGGATTCTCAACAGGAGTGATAATGATGGTAAACATCTGATTGTCTGCATGGTTGTGGTCCGCGTCAGAGACGGAGAAATGGAAGCTATCAGTAACCAGATGACCATCCTGCTCAAACACAGCTGAGTACCTATAAAGGCCAAAAGAAGAATCAAATTAACCAGGCACACTGACAAGCCAGGTAATATAACTGCATCTCTGTTTAAAAATGGGGCCAGAAGCAATATGTTCTTTCAAGGAAGCTGCAACCAGTTGCTTAAATATTTTAAAACTTTTTTAAAAAAAAGTATGTTATATAATTGTTATTGTTGTTAGCTGCTGTTGAGTCAACCCCCGACACATGGCAAACCCATGTACAACATAACAAAATACTGCCCAGTCCAGTGTCATCCCCATGATCGGTTGCAGACCGGACCATTGCATAAGGTTCACTGGCTGGGAAATGAACCTGGGTCTCCTGCATGGAAGTCAAGAGTTCTACCACTGAACCACCACTGCCCCCACTGTTAAATAATACAAACTGATTATGTACCTAATCTTGTTGTTGTTGATGTCTTCCATCGTGAAATTGGAAATCTCTGAGAGTTCTTCCACCTCAGGTCCTGAGGTTCTTAAGAGAGCACCATACACAGGCAGAGAAGTTAACCGAATCCAGATCTCTGCGTCGGGGGAAGAATCATCCTAATCAGGCAATATGAGGCAGGACATGAATGCACGTTTGCAGGAATAAATACTCCCAGTAGTTAAAAAGATCACGTGTTCCTTCTCTGCTAACTGGAAGGATCCCTTTCCCTTTAATATTAAGCAACACCATTAAAAACTGCATGAAAATCCCAGTATTTATTCCTCTTAAAATGTCTTTTTGATAGTCTCTTCTTCCAGGAGCAGTTCAGGATAACAGAGGGCAAATGCAAATAGAGGGGGCATACAACAAAGAGATACCCTATCATTATTGTAAGAGCCACACAAGGTTTTGTTTTTATTATAGCCATCTAGTGAAGAATAAAAACATGGTTAGAGCTACAAGTCATCTATCTATAAACACAGATGTAGGCTTCTAGAGTTGCTAAAGATAGTTTGCTTTTTGTATACAGGTAAAATTCCATCACAGTATATAATACAATGATTTAAAAAGTGAAAATAGAAAGAATGAGAGTTATTTAGCTTAGTCAATGACCCACTTTAAGTAATATTCAGCATGATAAAATTTTGGCTTCACAAAAAAATTTAGGAAATCTATAGATTCATTCTATCAGGATTATACCTATGGATGTTCAATCCCCCAGGTACCCCAACTTAACAAAGACCATTTCCCTTTCCTTTTGTATTCTTTGTTTTGAAACAAAATTGGCTTTCTGTATTTCTGCATGGACAATAATTGATTGTCTTAATGAACAATTTCCTCCTTCTTCAAAGATATTTTTGGAACTATCTTGGAGGCAGACAATATCTTCTTGGAAAAATCCCCTAAAGTCATTCATCTTTTAGAGTATTTGATTGTGAAAATCGGGACAGTCTCCACTTTACCACGGCAACAAATGAAAATAAATGTTGCATGGTTAATTATATTTTCAAATGTAAATTTTCATGGCTATATTCTACAGTTGGTTGAGGTATGGGTCAGGAATGTGATCATGGGATACTTGATGGTCTGGGGACAGTCAGTTCTTATTTATATTCCCAGGGCTCTTTTGAGTTACTAGTTCAGAGCCTTTAAAGTAAGATCACAGAATTTTCCCTATTTCCTCATATCACTCAGCACTAGCAAGGAAGGGAACTCAAATTCACTGAAACGGCTAAACTTCAGAAAATTTTCCCTAAATTTATACTCTTTAAAAGTTTCTCTATTTCTCCACATGGGCTGTCAAATATAATATGTAGGTTTCTAACAGACTACTTCCTAATATTGCTGTATCTTCCAACAGAGAATTTTAAAAAGACTGGTGAGAGTTTTAAAGTATTGTCTTCTGAGGTAGTGATAAACCACAAGGACGGAGCTTCTGTTCTTGATTAGAATTAATTTCCAGGGCAGAAAATTTGGCAAAGAAATGCTTATTTCATGAAAGTCATATCTTAGTTACAAATCAAAGGACTGATGGGTTTGAAAAAGTGGGCTATCAGCTAATTTTTTTTTTTCTGAAAATACCCTGTCATAATTTAAAGAAAATTATTATTTTGGGGTATACAACAATTCATAAGAATATCGACCATGTTCTCATGGAACATTCCTGCTGAAGGACCTTCTTAACCCTTTTGTGTTACTTCATTCATTCATTTTCTTTCTATTCTTTATACAGCTATGGACCCACCATACAACACAAGAATGGAACAGATAACAACTAACATTTACCTATATGCTCCTTCTTCATCCTATCTCTGGGACTCCCATCACTCGGAATCTTTTTTTTTCATTCCCTTGAATTCTTAATGTAGTTTTACGTAGTACTAAAAAGAACATTATTTAATTTTAACTTATTGTTAAACTTATAAAACTACTCTTGCAGGACTTTTTTTTTTTAAACTCAATAACACACGGTTAAGACCCATCTATATTGTTGCCTGTAGCTGTACCCGTTGCTGTCAAGTCGATTCTGACTCACTGACCCTATAGGACAGAGTAGAATTGCTCCATGGGGTTTTCAAAGAGCAGCTGGTGGATTCAAGCTGCCACCTTTTTGGTTAGCAGCCAAGCTATTAACCACTACGTCACAAGGGCTCCGCATGTAGCTATAGTACATTTGTTTTTAACTGCTCTCTAATATTCTATAGAGTATACCACAAGTTATCTATCTATTCTCCTGCTGATGTTGGATTGTTTTAATATTTTTGCTATTACAAACAGTACTGCTATGAACATTCCTGTGAATATTCTTGTATATGTCTTTTAGTGTATATCTGAAAATATCTCTTGGGTATGAATTGAGGAGTGGAATGCTTAGGTCACAGGGCACATGAATATTTATTATCATGATAATGCCAAATTATTTCCCAATTTACACCCCACCACCAATGTAAACCTCCTGTGGATGTATTTCCTCTCTGTACTTGGTGTTGTCAGACTTTTTACCTTCTGCCAATTGAATGGGTATAAAATAGTATACAATATAGTCTTAATTTGCTAACTGGTTTGCAATTAGCTGCTAACTAAAGATTGGAAAATTGAACCCACCAAGTGGCTGCTCAGAAGAAAATCCTGGCAAACTGATCCTATAAAGATTACAGTCAAGAAGACCCTATGGAGTAGTTCTACCCTGTAGCACATTGGGTTGTCATGAGTCAGAATTGACTTGATGGCAATGGGTTTGGTTTTGGTTTGGCTCAATGATATAGGTAAATATTTCTTCAAATGTTTATTGGCCATAGGGGTTCCTCTTCTGTGAAATTCCCATCTATGTGTCTTGTTCATATTTCTATTGGATTTATCTTTCTTTTTGATATTCAGGAATTCTTTGTTCTTCTTTATGGTTTTTGGTAATATGTGTTGCAAATGTATTTTTTTCAAGTTTGTAACTTGTCTGTTTTCTTGCTTTATGGTGTGTGTCTTAGTTATCTAGCACTGCCAAAATAGAAATACCACAAGCAGACAGCTTTAACAAACAGAAATTTATTCTCTCATAGTCCAGGAAGCTAGAAGTCCAAATTCAGGGCACCAGCTCCAGGGGAAGGCTTTCTCTCTCTGTCAGCACTGAAGGAAGGTCCTTGTTATCAATCTTCTCCTAGTCTAGGAGCTTCTCAGTGCAGGGACCCTGGGTCCAGAGAACCTGCTCTGCTCCTGGCACTACTTTCTTGGTGGTGTGAGGTCCCCCTGTGTCTCTGCTCACTTCTCTCTCATATCTCAAAAGAGACTGACGTAAGACAAAGCCTAATCTTGTAGACTGAGTCTTGCCTCATTAACATAACTTCCTCTAATCCTGCCTCATTAACATCATAGAGGCAGGGTTTACAACATACAGGAAAATCACATCAGATGACAAAATGGTAGACAATCGCACAATACTGGGAATCATGGCCTAGCCAGGTTGTCACATACTTTTGGGGGACACAATTCAGTCCATGACATTGTGTTTTGATGAAGACATTTTTCTAATCTTTTCTCTTATAATTAGCACTTCTTGTTCCTAGTTTTAAGAAATCCTTCTCTTTTCCAGTATCATAAAAAGATTCATATATATTATACGAAGAATTGTAAAATTTTCCTTATGACATTTAATTACTTGATCTGTCTGGAGCTAATTTCTGTATAGGGTATAAGGTAAGGGTACAAGTTTTTTTTTTTCTCATATGAATTATCATTTTGTCCAGACCCATTTTAAAAAATAATTCCTCCTGTTACCCCAGATCTGATTCACTATCTGTCTTATATCAGCGATCCATGTATGGGTCTGTTTCTGGACTCTCTATTATATTGGACAATCTATTTCTGTACTACACTGTTTTAATTGGTGTTGTTGTTAGGTGCTGTCGAGTCAGTTCTGACTCATAGCAACCCTATGTACAACAGAATGAAACACTGCCAAGTCCCATGCTATCCTTACGATCTTTGCTATCTTTGAGCTCACTGTTGCATCCACTATGTCAATCCATTTCGTTGAAGGTCTTCCTCTTTTTCGATGACCCATTACTTTACCAAGCATGATGTCCTTCTCCAGGGACTGATCCTTCCTGAAAACATGTCCAAAGTTGTGAGACGAAGTCTCTCCATCCTCAGGTCTAAGGATCCTGGCTGTACTTTTTCCAAGACAGATTTGTTCATTCTCCTGGCAGTCCATGGTATATTCAATACTCTTTGCCAATATCACATTTCAAATGCATCAATTCTTCGTCTTCCTTATTCATTGTCCAGCTTTCACATGCATAAGAGGTAATTGAAAATACCATGTCTTGGGTCAGGGGCACCTTAGTCCTCAAAGTGACATCTTTGCTTACGAACACTTTAAAGAGGTCTTTTGCAGCAGATCTGCCCAATGCAATACGTTGTTTGATTTCTTGACTGCTGCTTCCATGGGCATTGATTGTGGATCCAAGTAAAATGAAATCCTTTTCAACTTCAATATTCTCTCCATTTATCATGATGTTGTTTATTGGTCCAGTTGTAAGAAGTTTTGTTAATCAGATTTAATTTTATTAGAATAGTTCATAATAAACCCTGATATTTGGTAGGGCAAGCCCTCTTGTCCTCTTACCATTCTTTCTTCAGAATTTTGGCGCTTTGTTCTTCCGTATATATTTAGAGAATCATCTTATCAAGTGCCTTAAAAAGCCATTTTAACTAAACCGAATTGAAAGATTGCTTTGGGGAAGAATTGATATATTTTTTATATTGAATCTTCCTATTCATGAATCTCATCATTTACTTAGCACTTTTTCATGTATGTCAATTAAGTGTTATCATTTTCCCAATAGAAGTATTGCCTGGTTTTTGTTAGATTTAGTATAAAACTAAAGCCAAACTTGTTGCTGTCAAGTCAACTCTGACTCATGGTGATCACACGTGTTACAGAGTAGAACTGCTCCGTAGGGTTTTATTGACTGTAATCTTTATGTAAGTATATCATCAGGTCTTTCTTCTGTGGCACCGCTGGGTGGGCTTGAACCACCAACCTTTAGGTTAACAGTTGAACGTAAACTGTTCGAGCCACCTAGGAACTGCGGATTTAGTATAAGTTACGTGGACTTTTTAATCCTGTTAATAAACGATGTCATCTTTTTAGCTATATTTTCTAGGTACGTTTTTGTGGATGTATACCAGTGCTATTGTTATTTGTTGATCTTATATCCAGCTCCTTGCTAAATCCTTCTTTTATTTCTAATACTCAAGAGAGTCTTGTGAGTTTTCTCTACAGGCAATCATATCATCAGTTTTCCCTGGAAGTTACACTCTTTTGTTAGATTCATTCCTAAATATGTGATAAGTGATGTTATTATAAATAGTATTATCTTTTTAATTTTTTGGCTGTGCATAAAAATGTAGTCAACTTTTTATGATTAATCTTATATCATCCTTTGCATATTACAGATGAGAAATTAAAGGCTGAGAGGGTTTAAGTACTTGCCAAGGGTCACTACCCTGGTAAGTATGATCTTGGATGAAAACTTCAGAACCTGTAGTATTTCTCCCCTACTTGTTTTATTGCAGTGCATAAAAAACTGTGTATATGAAACTACCAGTAAGAAAAAAATCACACAGAATCCCATTTTTGCCTTTTGTCTCTCCCAGTATCATGTCCCTCATCTAGTTAATGATGCTCTAATTAAAAACAGACTCACCTGCTTCTATCCCTTTATACTCTTCCCCATTTATGAACAGAATTTCAGATGGCTTTTCCAATATTCCTGTATGCTCACTGCAAACTCATAACTATGCATATCTCGAAAAACTTTGCCACAACACAAAGTGAAAAACTCTTCTATATCCCTCAGAGAAAGTTAGCATATAACTTAGCTAAGTCTTTAAAATGCATGCTATGCTTTCAGCAGACTACAACAGTTCTTTTGGAGTCCTTCTGCTCTGGTGGGCAAATTCACATTCAATCAATTTCAGTTGCCAATGGGCTTGCATTTTGATATGCAGCTTATAATATGCAGTTAATGAGCAGGAACTGCTCCTGGAGTGCTATTTTGGCCTGTCAAATATTTTTCAAGCCTTGGTGATCTATTGATTAAACCTGTATTCATACATTTTTATGAATTCATGTATCTCATACGATTCAAAAGACCATAACCTATGGTAAACAAAAAAAAAAAAACAAAAAAAACTTGTCAGTTAGAAAAAACAAAATCAAAGCTGCTCTAGAACTATATTATACCCATGAGAAAAATCAGAGTGGAATGCAGCTTCCTGTAATTTAAGAAAAGACAATTTGAGGGGAAAATCTGTGCAAAAGCAACTGTTCCCAGGCCAATGCTTTATCTTACACGTTGCTATTCAGGACTAGATTTTATAGCCAGACTCTTCAGCCCTGAAAATGGATTACTTAAAACTATATAGTATTTTTTTTAAAAGCTAGATCATTAGTTGGAACTTTTAAGATTAGTAAAGGAAAAATTCAATACTAAGAATGATTAGTATTCAGATAGTCATTGTTCTTTTCAAGGCATTGTCAAAACTACTCGTCATTATGTTTACATAGAGTATAGATCTGTTTACAATATACATAATTGAAAAATAAAATTAATTATCCTTATCTCCAGAGATAGAATCAAAAAAAGGCGATATATTTAATTACCAAGGATCACTTGTCAAGTTAGGAACAGAGACAGGAAAAACCCACAGTCCCTGATCTTGCCATCTATCCTCTAACCACACTGCTTCTCTTGGGGCATGGGATGGAAAGTGAATCAGTAACCTTGTCTAAGAAATCTGGCAGAGAGGTATTGCCTAAGTGCTGTGCCAGTATTCTGTCTAGAGCTGGCCTTGAGATAAAAGCTGATGAAAAGTGGGCTTTCTCTCGGTGGGCCACGAAACACCATCACCTATTAGTTACTGACAAGGCAATTTCTTCTAAAATGCTCTTTTCCTAAAATTCCCATCAGAAATATTAGAGATGGAGCTTAAGCAATAGAGACTTGGGCTTTTCTGGCATTGGCACTGATTCCTGTTGACAATTACTCATCCCTGCACATACTCATTGTGTTTCCATCTAAGTTCTGCTCACTCCTTGCCTGCCCATGAGACACTAGGAGCAGCCAGAATAAACGGTATAACTACTCCTAGGAATAGAACTTCAGGGAATTTGGGAAGAAGGATATTTATATGGTCATATACCTGTAGCCCCAAATATTTAGCCAACGCATTGCTTTCTAGAAGCCCAGTCAGAAGGTTCAGTGAACAAGAAGAACAAACATAAAAACTTACAATGTAAGCAAGGTGTGACCTCGTGATTATGGCTGAGCTTTTACTAGCAACAGTAATTCTCAGAGAGGAGCCAGCAGCCAGCCGAGGCCCTCGGTCCTCTGACAGCGACACCTCCACTCTTACTTCCAGCGTTGTTGTGGTGATACCATCTGTGACAGCAATCTCCATGCTGTCTTCCTGGGCAGAGGAGCCATCATGTATATACTGCAAAGCATTTTTCTCAATATCTTCATATGTGAAAGTATCACCTTCGAAGAATAAAACAAATTGCAATACCAATTACTTCTGGGAATAACGCTTTTCATTTATATAACACCTTTGTTCTCAGGATTTCAAAGTACATAGAGGATCATAAACTCTGAGAGTTGTAAGCTAATTAGTCCAACAACTCACCCAATATAGGATTCCCTTTATACTACTCTTGAAAAAGGGTTATTTAGCCTGTCCTTCAATACTTCTCAAGGTGGCAAGCTCACTGCCTTATAAGGTAGCTAATTCCACTGGAGATAGCTCTAATTCACTTTAAAAAAAAAAATTCTTAATCATATGGAGCCAAAATCTTCCTCCTGCAAGATCCATTTATCATGCCTAGTTCTATAGAAATAAAGGGCAAGCCTCTTTTTTTTTTTTTTTTAATGCCAGCCTTTGTGGAGTATAACCTTGATACTGAAAATTTTTTGAAAAACTTAGGAAAATAAATTATGCTTGGGGAATTTGTAAGAGACCTTTGTTTTAATTGAAAATATAAGATGCTTTTTTAATTAAAAAAGATGTAAGAATTGAAAAATATATTTGAAGTTAGAAACCCAAACTACGTAGTCTAGAGTACAAATTCATGATAGATTTGATACATGTTATGTAAAAAAAAGTTTCAGGGCCACATAAGCTTGGGAAAAATAGGATTAAACAAAATTAAAATGAATTTTTTAAAAAAATTGCAGGATTTTCTAAAATTTAGAATCTTTAAAATGCCAATATTAAAGCTTCTCTAACTTGTCTGATCATGGAATCCTTTTTATGAGAATTGTCTCTTAGCTCCATGAGCCCCAGTGATTCCACACAGCACAGATTAGGAAATGCTTTATCTCGGATGTTATATTCACCTCCATTTCACTACTAACTACTGGCTCTAATAATTTGTATTATGTAATGAGATTAAGAATTTATTCATTCTCTGTATTCTTCTTCTAAGCCTTCTCTTTCAACATGATGCTGTGTTTTATTGACGCAAATGGTTAGTGTGCTCAGCTGCTAACCAAAAGGTTGGAGGTTTGAGTACACTCAAAGGCACTTCAAAAGAAAGGCTTGGCAATCTACTTCCAAAAAATCAGCCATGATAACCCTATGGAGTACAGTTCTACTCTGACACACACGGGATTGCCATGAGTCAGAATCAACTTTACAGGAACTGGTTAGTGGTTAACAAACTTCTTAGATCTTATACAATAATTATACAAATAAAGGTTAAATATTATGCTAAAGAAACTGGGCTTTAACTGTTATGCTCCGAAAGTAATATATTCCCTTGGGATACTACAAATCTATACTAATTATATTTCTTTTGTTCAGCAAATTTTTGAAAGTCTACCTTTGTGATTGCCAAATGCATACTGGTTGTTCTTAAAAATTCATCTACCTTCAAGGGCAAAGATCTGGCCCTACCAGGGATATTCAGAAGAATATATTACTACATATTGTAGAAGGAATTAAACAAACGTTTTGAGAAAACAGTTATAATAAGCATATAGCCTCCCAAAATGACTACTGTGAAAGGGATAATATTCATTTTGATATTAAAAACAAACAAAACAAAACCCGTTGCTGTTGAGCAAATTTCAATGCATGGCACCTTTGCTATATAAGGGCTGATTTTTTTTAAATTTAGATTTTAGATCTGTTCTTTGTGCTTTTCTGTACTTTCTAAACAATCAACATGTATTATTTTTTATAACTGGCAAAAGTGCAATAAATATTATTTTGGAAAGGTGGTCACATTATCACACAGTTATATCTGGTTAGCAGCCAAGAGCTTAACCACTGTGCCACTAGGGCTCCTTACAGCTTCTAGATGATACTTAAAAAATTGTTCCCTTTTTTAATGGATGAAGATACATGTAGTTAACACTATCACAGACTTACTGTCAAAAATACTGTGAAGGTTCACACACCAAATTAGGAAGACAAATTAATCTCCATGAATAAACTATCAGAAGCTGGCAGTTGACACCTCATATGGTGTAGTTCTAAATGCATTTATTCAAGTTCACCTGCAATTTGAGGAAATAGCTTCATAGTTTGCAGGATGAGGGTAGGGGTGCAGAGGAAGAAGTTCCAAATATCTAGGCCAATGGACTAAACACTACTGGTTTTTTCTTTCTAGATAGCTCCTCATAACTTTTCTCATAAAGATACATTGGCCTTGATTGTAGAGCATCAAGTCCCTCCAAGTAGATCAATGGCAGAGTGAGCTACCTGCAACCATGGGTCCTTGGAACTCAGCTGTGTACTTAAGGAGCACGCCATGCTGTGGAGGTTTCCGAAGCTCAAAGTAGAGTTCTTCAAGTACTGTGTTGGCATTTCTTACTAACAACTGAAGTCCTGTAGTCAGGAAATAAAACATGATGAGAGAGAATGGGTACATTAAAAACTGTGTACTGTGTATACATTAAAGCCACAGGCCAGGCTGGAAGCCATACAGGGGATAATCTGATCGTTATCTGAAAGCACCACTTAACTCCAATCAACCACAAAAGAATGAAAACTGATAATACAGTTAATTCCCAAATTATAAGTAGGCTTTCTAAAAGTTTGCTTGTAAGTAGTACTGAATTTCAGAACATCCTTTTTCCCCCCCATACAAATGAGGACATGACATGGGGGAGGCCACAGGTAGGTCAGTTGTGACCTGCTGGGGTAGCTTCCTCCAGAAAATATTACTATTAACTGTTTTTGCTTTTCTTCGTTTCTTCCCTTCTTCTTTTTCTGAATCTACACAAGAGCCAAGTTATTTTAATGATGGCTCTATGGCCACCGTGGAAGTGAGGAGTGGAGTAATAGTATCTTTGTATATGTGGTTTGTTTATAAATAAGATGATAATTAACTTCAGACAAAAACTCCAGTGTAGAAACTGGGTAAGGATCTAGTAGATCACACCTAACTAAAACTGCAATATCCACTGTTTGCTAGTGAAATGTTCTTGGTAAAAAAAAATGAATACACTTCTAACCAGTAAGTATATTAATAAATACATAAAACAGCATACAAAATAACAGGGCCAGCTCTAACTGTTCATGACTTCTGAAGGTTACTGTAATCTGTCATTTCTCCTGTTACTCTTCACTTTCTAAATAGAAAACAAGAGCAGTCACTGAAACCCGCTCCCCTCTCTTCTCTCTGTTACTTTATATTTTAGTGATGGCAACAAATCAAACTCCTGGGCTGGAAAATAAATTCTGTGTTGTATTCCATCACTGAGTGTTGGCCTCGGAAGTGTTTATTTCCTTCTCTCTGTGCTGCTTCAATTTGCATGGAAATGGGCAGAAGGAAGGATATAGGTGAGAATGTACAGAACTTCTGGAACAGGAGGCCACTGTTTTTTGGCAACCATCAAGAAGGGCTGAACAGGGATTGCCGCGGAAATATGGTTCCATTTCCACAGCCATGTTTCTTTCAGGCTCCCAGTTCTTACCTACAAAAGTTCTGCCTCCTGGGCTGACCTCAAGGAGTGGAGCTGTGACCTGGAACACTGGGGGCTGCTGGTCAGTGGGAAGTAAGTGAATGGTGAGGACTGTCTCTGGACTTGTGCGCTCTCCGTCGGAAACTAGAAAGGGTAAACATACACACATATACAAATCAATTTGTCATCTGGTCACCCTCAGGCTGTTTCCATAAATATGTAGCCAGAAGTTTTTTTAGATTACCTTAACACTTTGAAGAGGTGTTTACAAATGGGAAACGTAAGCAAGCAAGTAAGATGTTGTGAGCTATTCTAACAAGGATTTTTCTATTGGATAAGAAAAAGGCTAATAGATCCATAATAACAAAATTGTTTCACGGGGTGATTGATAAATCTTAGTGGAAGGAAAAGTAAGACAAAATATGCTCTCTTAAATGATGCTGGTAACGGCTTCTTTTTTTTTTTTAATGGAAATATTTTTTGATTCAATTCATTCCTCCAATGTTTCACAGAAATCTTTTCTTTCATGAAATCTCTTTTAGATACAACATGCCTATGTTTCATGGAAAAAAAAAATAAAGGACAGAAAATACCCTTACAAACGGTATTTCTTTGGAAGTAAGTAGCCTAATTTTATCTGGTCATTATGCCCAATGCCATAAATAGAAGACACCTTTGTTGATAAAACAGTGACCTTAGATTTTATTTCTCTGGATTATCTGACATCCAAGTGAACACTACGCACCTGAGGGAAATGAAAGCAGAATTGCTTTCCTCTTATTCCCAGCTTCCCAAACCTTAATACACTCTGCCTTCTCTAAAAGCCAGATTTGAAAGAATACCAGCACCACCACTAATCAATGTGTTTATTGACTGGCTATTGAGAAAACTGTTCTGTTAATTATTTTAAATGTGTGATCTGCTTGCATATAGGTTAGTTATATAAGAAACCAGTTTCCTTCCTCAGTAACAATTCATTAGGAGTCCAACATGTTCTTAAGCAAAGTAAACCATTATTCAGTGATTCCTGCTAATGATTCCATTCAGGTTTTAGATTTGTCTTTTCCTTGGGAACAGATATCAGAGATATGACTGGATTTATAATGTATGCTCTGTGTCCTAGAGAAGCTATGAAATAGCCCTACAGAAGAAGAGAAGCTGGGGATGAAGATTTAGACTCTGGTCATTCAGTCAAGTGTCAAGATTATTGCCACTGCTTCTTTATTTATGCTCAATCTCTTCCTCTCTGTGGATCATCAAACATAAGGACAGATGGCTCTTAATTTTTAGGGGTTCAGAGACATACAAACTTTTTCATAAATTTCAGTGGATTCAGGGTTCTCTGAGGTCCCTGGTATCTAGGTTAAGAACCCCTATGTTAGATAAAAATAAATAATGGCAAAATACTTGTTGTTGTATTCGAGTCTGCTCCTACTCATGTACAACAGAACAAAATGTTGCCACGTCCCGTGCTATCTTCATGATCTTTGATATGTTTGAGCTCATTGTTGTGGCTCTTGTGTCAATCCATCTCACTGAAGGTTTCCTTTGTTTTGCTGACAAGCTATTTTGCCAAACATGATATCCTGTTTTAGTGATTTGTCTTTCCTGATGATGTGTCCAAAGTAAGTGAGCTAAAGTCTCACTATCCTCACTTTTAAGGAACATTGTTTTATTTATTCTAAGACTGATCTGTTCGTTCTTCTGGCAGTTCATGGTCCATTTAATATTCTTTGCCAACACCACAACTCAAATACATCAATGCTTCTGTTTTCTGTTTTTCATTGTCCAGCTTTCACATGCATTATGAGGCAACTGAAAAGACCGTAATTTGGGTCAGGTGAACCTTAGTAATCACAGTTATATCTTTGCTTTTTATATAAATAAATAAAGTTATACTGCAAAATAGAATTTTATTTTTTTATGTTACATCTATTTTTTTTTAACATCAGGAAACCCTCAACACCCTATTTTACTGCTGCAGAAAGGAAAGTCCCTAAAAAATAGCTTTGGTCGTATCTGTCACAGAGCTCTTCAGTGTAAACAGGCATGTCCATGCTTATGTAAGTAAATGAAAGAAAAGCTATTTTCTGGTAGCATATAACCAGAAAATAAATTATTCGGGAACAGGGTTTTACAAGCAAACATAAGAACTTACAATTAAAATGTTGGCAATTCATGTTTCACCTTCTCTCTAAACAATGTTTCTGATGTCTCTGAGAAACAGCCCACTGTCTTTTTGGGTTAGACTCCCTTGAGCACCACTTGCCTCATGCGTTTTCCTTGCTCCGGGCTGCACTGCAGTGTCTTATCCTGGTCTTGAAGCTGGCCAGGTCAGGAATATCAGCTCTCCATCTCATTTTAGCTGATTAACCAAATGAGCTGTTCTCCTGTCTTCTACGGGTTAATGTCAGGGCTCCGGCTTGTAGCTCTCTTAGTTTGTTATCTACTCAAGTTAAAAATTCTCCCTCAAAAATACTGCTAAAGGAAATGGTTTCCTTCCTATTGGATTCCAAAAGTATTCCTCCTAAAGAAAGGAACCCCGGGCAGAAACAAACTAAATTAATTTAAGGTTAGCCTGAGGTCCCTTTCCTCTACCAGGTATAATAGGTTCAAGGATCATTTAACTTGGGAGAAGTTAATTGTTAACCCTTTCACCTACTTAAGCTTTCAGGTGAAAGTTGAGGCTTGGAAACCAAACTGGTTCACTACCGTGATACCTATGATCCACACAAATACAGATCACACTAAACTAACTATCCTAGACTAGAAAAGCTTGTATTAAATCCTGGTCCTACTCTTTATCAAGAAGTCCTTGTGACGCAACGGTTAAGCGCTTGACTGCTACCTGAAAGGTTGGCAGTTTGAACTCACCCAGAGGCTCTGTGGGAGAGACTCAGCAATCTGCTCCCATAAAGATTACAGTCTAGAAAGCCCTATGGGGCGGTTTTACTTCGTCACTGGGGTCACTATGAGTAGAAATCAACTCGAGGCCACCCAACAACTCTTTACCAGAGGTGGAAACCTGGGCAGATTACTTACTCTCCATGATACTTAGTTTCCTCAGCTATAAAATAATCCTCTCCCTGCAATATTTTTGTTAGGATTAAATAAGACAACATATTTTTAAATGTTTTTTGAAACACAAAACACTGTAATCTGTTATATATTGTTACTGACTTTATGTATCATCTAGAAGCAAGTCTCTAGAAATGAGCTGATAACTGAGTTCATATTAACAATGAAACAACACTCAAATTTACCAATGATTCATGTTAACTGTAGGCATGTGATTTTTTTTCTTTTTTACACTCAAAGAATAAAGGAAGGGCTGGGAGTTTGAGGGAGATGGCTTTCTTTTCCACCAAGATTTATCCCTATGTGAAATGTAACAGGACATATGGATGGCTAATTCTAATGGAATAGTCAATCACAACTAAACAGCTATTTAAGGATGCTGTTTATAATCAACTATCCTCACTCTAGACCTAAATAAGAAAGCTGGCCCCTATGTTGCCCCAGCATAGGCAACATGTCTGACTCTGCTTTAGCTTATTAGCACTCGGGTTCTATTTTCTTGTGAACTAAAGCCAGGACGCTGAGGTTTTCTACACATGGGTTTCTTAACCTACTCTCTGGGCCATAAGACTTTTCCCTCCAGTAGCAAAGCCTTCAATGAAAGACTATTAAAGACTAGATACAACCACTGTTTGTTAACTGATTGAAAGCATGTTATAAAGACGAGTGTGTATCAATCACTGTTCTGGGAGCTTTACATATACAAATAGTCCTCGATTTACAACATACCTGAATTATGATGAACTGCACTTAAAGTTTTTTTTTTTTTTTTTTTGGTATATCTTATCATTAGTAATATGTACTACATAAAATGTTGCAGAGTATAATTTGCTGATGTTGTTATTCTCAGATGGTCACTCGCAGGTGTTTAATGTTATCATTTTTTGTTCAAAACACTGTTGTATAGCAGGCAATAATGAAAAGTAAAAAAACAAAAAAATGAGGTTTTCAGTTTACATCAGAATCAACTTAGGATGGAGTCATCAGAACGGAACCCCGTTGTAAATCTGGGACTATCTGTATTTTTATTGTTATTATCTCCATTTATGGATAAGGCATTCAGGCAGAGACGTTAAGAAACTTTCCCAAAGTGGGTTGAACACCAGGCAGTCTGGATCCAGAGTCGAAGATCTTAACCAACCACTATCGCCTCTTTTTAACGGATATTAGGACAAAATGAAATGAGCCTTAAACAAATTAATCTTTGGCATCCTTGGTGGATTTTTTTCTCCCCTTTTCTTATGAATGCAAGGTTATGATGTTTTTATTTAACTAACCATGTGATTTATTTGGGAACACTATCTTATGTAACTTTTAAATGATCCTTAGAAAATAGTTAAAAGTAATGATGAAGGAGGAAAAATAAAGGACTAAAAAGGAAAGGAATTAAATACCCTTTTCTAATAAAATTGAAATTAAGTTCTTCACCTGTGAAGTGGAATTTCACCGATTCTGGGAGACCTGAAAGAGCAGGAGAGAGAAAATCAGTATACTAAACGTTTTAGGGTCAGAGACAGATAAGTAAGGTCCAAAATATGGGGCAGAGATTAGGAAAGTAAAAGATGTTCTAATCTAGATGATTCTGGTTTAAGAGAAATCACCAGATCTTTTGCTAATCTTATGTTGGATTTAATGGTGCCAGCACTAATTTTAAGTAACAAAAAGAGCCACATAGTGGAATAATTTTATATCAAAGCAGTTAGAGTGATTCATAATACATTTATTCAGATCCCACTTCATCAGTACATAAAATCCTACAAATCTGTGAATGTGGGTGATATCATATATCACTAACAAGGTGCTCAGGTGGGTCCATTCCATTGTAGAACTGAATGATGCCTGGGACATTGATTTACATACTGTGACAGTGTGAGAGATTTATCTCGTGGCATTTATCCCAGAGATTATATAGGATAGACTTCTGCTCTCTCTAAAGAGGCTCTAGCAACTCAGGTGAATGTAATGGATACGGAAATAACTTCACCCATGGATGACATGTTTTCTTTCCCTCTAATCCCAGGATATCCTGAGTTTCTTGTAACGTAGGTCTTGTAAAGTAGGGGTTAGAGAACCATGAACATTTTCATGGGTTATTAGTTACCCAGTTACTAAACACTAGGGATACTCTGTAGGAAAGAGACCTATCCCTGCCCTTAGAGACTTTCAGTCTAATTGAGGACCTACCCATTTTCTGGACTATTGAACTTATATAAATAATGGGAAATATTACTTGATATCTTTACTATAATCAAAAAAGTAACTCTAAAGTTATTTAATCCATGATCAACTCAGCATAAGAAATCACCACCTGTTCTTACTATATGTAAAACACTCTGTATTAATCATCTTATGAGGTGTATATGTCTTAAAGACTATAAAGAAACAGATTTCAAGACATTAGAATCATGTCAAGGCATAGACATATTTAGGGGTAGGGACTCAAAACTCCTGCTTTCCAGTCAGAAGCTTTGATTACTGGATAATGGGAAGAGGTAGGGGTGGTGAGGAATAAAGATATCCTGGCGTAGTGGAAACGCACACACTGGTTTTGATTAGAAACTCAGTTATTTTGCTCTGTTTTCTCTTCCTTTAAAAAGATGCCTTCTGTCAGGTCCTGATGCTGGCCTGAATTCTTCATTTCTACATGGACCTTCCCTGAGATGCTGCAGGCTCCTCCTCACTGGTTTCCCCTCACCCACACATCTGTCCACTATGGCATCTTCAACCCTTTCACATCATTATAGTCAAAGAATTCTTTGTGAAAAGCCATTCTGCTATATCTTAAAGGAGTCCCCTGAGTGGTGCAGACAGTTAACGCATTTGGCTGGTAACCAAAAGGCTGGAGGTTCAAATCCAGTCAGAAGCATCTTGGAAGAAAGGCCTGGCAATCTACTTCCAAAATATCAGCCACTGAAAGCCCTATGCAGCACAATTCTACTTTGACACACATGGGGTCTCCATGAGTCATAATTGATTCCATGGCAACTGGTTGGCTTATATCTTAAAACCCTCCACTGGATCCTTAGTGTTCTTGAGACAAAGACCCCGATCCTTAACTTGGCTTAGAGAGCTTGCATGGTCTAGCTTCTGTCTCTCTCTCTCCAGGCTCATATTGCTCTGCTCTAGCCTCCTTCTCCACATTCCAGCCACACTGACTTTCTTTCAATCATATGTTCTCTCCCCCAGGGCCTCTGCATATTGAGCTTGTGCCCTTCCTTCAGAAAGGATCTCTCAACCATCCCAATATGCACTTAGCCTAGTTAGCTTCTACCATCCCTGACATGTCAATACTTCCTTGGGGAAGCCTTCACTGAGTCCTCAGTCTAGGTCAGTCTTGTTAAAATGTTTAATATCACCACTGAAATTCTTCCTTCTTTTCAGAGCTCTTAGTTTGTAGTTATACATTTATCACTGGGATCATTTGATCAGTGTCTGTCTCTAGATCCCATACTTGCCAACAACAGGATCCACACCTCCTTTTCCTCACCAATATAGCTCCAGGGCATAGCCCAGTGGTTGTCACATAACAAACCAAAATCAAACCAGTTACCATTCAGTCGATTTCAACTTAAGGCAACCCATGTGTTTGAGAGTAGAACTACCTTCCATCAGATTTTCATGGCTGTGACCTTTTGGAAGCAGATCACCAGAACTTTCTTCTGAGGCACCTCTGGGTGGGCTCAAACCACCAGCATTTTCGTTAGTAGCCCACTGCTTAACTGTTTGCACCACCCATGGACTCTTGATTGGCACGTAACCAAAACCCACTGATGCTGAGTTGATTCCGACTCATAGCAACCCTGTAGAACAGAGTAGAACTGCCTCATAGGGTTTCCAAGGCTATAAACCTTACAGAAGCAGGCTGCCACATCTTTCTCCCAAAGAGCAGCTGGTAGGTTCAAACAGCTGACCTTACAGTTAGCAGCTGAGCGCTTTAGCCACTGTGCCACCAGGGTCCCCTGACTGGCACAGCCAAAACCAAAAACCCATTGCTTTCATGTTGATTCTGACTCATAGCAACCCTACAGGATAGAATAGAACTGCCCCATAGGGTTTCTAAGGAGCAGCTGGGGGATTCGAACCGTCAACCTTTTGGTTAGCAGCCAAGTTTTAACTGCTGCACCACCAGGGATCTGATTGGCACATAAAACCAAAAAAAACCTGTTCCCGTCGAGTTGATTCCAACTCATAGCAACTCTATAGTACAGAATAGAACTGCCCATAGAGTTTCCAAGGAGCGCCTGGTGGATTTGAACCGCTGACCTTTTGGTTAGTAGCTGTAGCACTTAACCACTATGCCACCAGGGTTTCTGATTGGCATATAGAAGCCACAAAATAAAAATTTATAAGTTATATGCCTGAATGCAGGAATAAAGGAAAAAAGAACAATGAACTGAGACCAAACTACATATTGGTCAACAAATCTCAAGCTCTTCTGAATAGCTCTAACCCAGTGTTACCAAACTACATAGAAGGACTAGACAAAGAGCTAAGGCAAGCCTGTCATCAAGATCCACACAGAACAGTTGGAGCGCCTCAAGAAAGAGAAGGGAGTATTACCAGCAAAAGAGAAGGCCATGATCTCCTGGAGATAGGGGGCCGCAGTGGGAGGTCGGTACAGGATTTTGCCTTGGTTAATATCTTCCTGCGTGAAATACCGGATGGGAGAGTGAGGCTGGTCCCTGTGTTCGATGATACCTGGTGGGAGAGAGACTCAGCATGGGCATCAACAACAATTCTGATGACTGACTGAATGACCAGAACCATCAAGCCTGCCTCCCTGCTGCTGGAAGTCTTTTATCGTTCAGGAACAACTCCTCTCATGTTGCTCTTGGTATGCTAGAGTATTCTTCAGTTATTCAAGGAAAGGGCAAACATGCAACCCAAATACTCTTCACTAGGATTTGTTGAATATAAACCATACTAAGACGCAAACTGGGAGTCCCTGGGTGGTACAAACGGTTAATAGTTAAGGTTAGTGGGTTAATGGGTGTTATAGGTTGAAATGTGTACCCACAAAATATGTGTTGTAAATCCTAACTTCTATACCTGTGGTTATAATCTCATTTAGGAATGGGTTTTTTGTTATGTTAATAAGGCAGGATTAGTGTAGGATGTGTTTTGGAAACCCTGGTGGTGTAGTGGTTAAGTGTTACAGCTGCTAACCAAAAGGTCAGCAGTTCGAATCCACCAGGTGCTCCCTGAAAACTCTAAGGGGCAGTTCTACTCTGTCTACAGGGTCACTATGAGTCGGAATCGACTCGACGGCAATGAGTTTGGTTTTTCTTGGTGTTTTAGTCAATCTCTTAGACAAGATATAAAAAGAGCAGATTAGGACAAGCAAGAAGCACAGATGGGGGAAGACTGATATGAAACCACATGGAGAAATCAGGAAGCAGAGCTGAAAAGACCAGGACCTTCCCCCAGAGCTAACACAGAGAGAAAGCCTTCCCCTAGAGCTGGCACCCTAAATTTGGACCTCTAGCTTCCTAAACTGTGAGAAAATAAATGTCTGATCGTTAAAGCCATCCACTTGTAGTATTTCTGTTATAGCAGCACTAGATGACTAATACAGAATTTGGCACCTGAAGAGTAGGGGTGCTGCTCTAACTAATACCTACAATGTGGAAGTGGTTTTGGAATTGGGTAATGGGTACAGCCTGGAAGAATTCTAAGGTATCTAATAGTAAAAGCCTAGATTGCCTTGAAGAGACTGTTGGTAGAATTATGGACATCAAAAGCAATTCTGGTGAGGGCTTAAAAGAAAGTGAGATGACCTATAGAGAAAAGTCTCTATTGTTTTAGAGAATATATATAGCACCAGCAATAAAATGTTGCTAGAAATGTGGGAGTTAAATGTGCTTCTGGTGAGGCTTTAAAAGGAAATGATGAGCATGTGATTGGACAATGGAGGAAGGATGATGCTTTTTATGCAGTGGCAAAGAACTCGTCTGAATTATGTTCAAATGTTTGGTGGAAGGTAGAATTTGTAAACGATGAACTTGGATATTTGGCTGAGGAGATTTCTAAGCAAGATCTGAAATGGGCCGTGTGGTTTCTCCTTGCCACTTATAGTAAAAGAGAGAAGAAAGAGATGGACTTAAAAATGAACTATGCAAAATGAAAACAAAACTTAAAGATTTGGAAAATTCTGGGACTCCGGCAGACATGGCTGTGGCAGCATGCTTGTCCGTTTTTCCATTCTTGCCTATTCTGTAATATTCTTTGGACTCGGACAGACATGCCTCTAGCAGCATGGTTGTCCGCTTCCCACTTTTGTCCTTTTGAATATATGCCGAATAAAACTTTCTTTTTACTTTACTAAACTTTGTAATGTTTTTCCCCGACAACAGGTTATGGTGCTGTGAGCAGGATCTGAAGCCACGAATCCAGTCAACTTCGAAGAGACCCGGACTGCGGAGCAGAGGCCGGCAAAGAAAGGTCCTATCTTCTGGACCCACGTGTTCCCACTCCATGTCCCTTCGACACTGACGGGGTGAGTGCGCTCAGAAAACGAACCTTTGCTTATTTTTTTGTTGTTCTCTTCCTCATGTTTTCTTTAGTTTTGTTTGGCATATTTGTTTGTAAAACCGGTTAATTGATTAAGGAGAATCTTTCTTAGATTTTCACTTGATCGTTTGGTTGAGTGACATTTAGTAACTCTTTAAGTGAACTGCAGTTTAGGCCTGGATTTGGGCATTTGAAGAGGTAATTCTATTTTCAAAGAGCTGTGAGTCACTATAAGCTGCAAAATTCAGACCTTTTTGAGGCTCCGAGAAAACCTGGAAAATAGTGCTCTGTTTTGCCAAATTCTCAGGGGGAGGTGGCAGTTCCTGACCTGTGTTTTGATATTTAAGGGAGAAGAGGTAGTTCTGTGCCTGTTTTTTCCATTGAATTGAGTCGATCTTACCAAAAATTGCTATATACACTTTTAGAAACTAGGATCCCTATATCCTTGTTTTGTATGGTATTATCTGGTGAGTTTATGTAGTCTTTCTGTCTCCTTTTGTTCTAAGAGCTTGCTTCTGGTCTAGAGCATTGTGTCTAAGTTTGTCTTGTATTAGATTGGTGGCTATGGCTAAGAACTGCTGTTTTTTGTAAGGCTCGTCATAGAATCTCCGTTCCTTCTTCATACAGAAAAAACAACGTCTTGTGTCTGTCTTATGATTTAGATTTTTAATAGCTACTTGGAGAAACTTTGATATAAATTGGTCTATTTGAAAAATATACTAAGATCTTTATGTTTTATACTATGTCAATCTTAAAAGCAAAACCTTTTTAAGTAACTTAAGCTAGATATTATATGAAATGTGTTTTATTTAAGGAAAAAGGATAGTTTTGTCTTAAAATAGCAGTTCCAGGACAGTAAAAAAGAAAGAAATTAGCTATCTTTTGTCTTTCCAAATGCCTCCATCAATTTAAACATATGTAAATGTCTTCCACGAGTCAAGCGTGTGAGGGCGGGGCACGATCAGGCCTCCCCACCTCCCAGTCTCCAAGGTCCTGTAGCTCCAGGGACGCTTTTCAAAGACCCCTTTCCAGCTAGGTGGAGACTCTTTTAAGACAAAAGATAAGAAAAATTGCTGCTTTGCTATAGTTATCAGAAATTGGGTAGATCCTAATCATAGAACTGTAAACAAGTTCTATTATAGGGGAACTTTAAGAAGTAAAAAAAAACAGAAATCACAATGAGACACACCTGAAGTGGCCTGGAAAAATGTTTCCAGCCGTAGCCAAACACTTAAGGTTACATCCATATCAATGAATTGGTCAAGTGAGCAAAGACTTTGTGATTTCCAAAGC